ACCCCGATCCACCCTACCCTACCGCCACTCCCTACCACTTCGACCCCACCCTGACCACCATACCCCCACCCCTACCTTACCCCTTACCACATGCCCCCTACCTCGGCCCCACCCCACCGCCATCCTACCCCCCACCCTCGTACCGCCATCCTACCCCCTACCCTTCCCCTACCTCGGCCCCACCTGGATCCCAGGCCCACCCTACCGACATCCTATCCCAACTCCCTACCCTACCCCTACCTTATCCCAACCCCAACCCTACCCACTACCCCCACCCTTACCGCCATTCAACCCCCACCGCCATCCTACCCCCCACCCTACCCCTTCCCTACCTCGGTCCCACCCTGGTCCCGGCCCCACCCTACCGCCATCCTATCCCAACTCCTACCCCTACCTTACCCCAACCCTACCCAACCATTACCCCTAACCACGACCCTAACCCACCCACTACCCCCACCCAACCCCCTACCCATAGACCTTACCACCCCACCTCGACCATCCCCCTTACCCCACCCTTACCCACTACCCCGACACCTACGAGTAGGTATGGGTGGGTATTAAGGGTTGTGGGGGAGTATGGGTAGAGTGTAAGATCGTAGTAAGGGTAGGGATAGGGGTCAAGGGTGTGGAATTGGAGAACTGGGTGAAAAAATTGATGACAATGTTTTCAGATTTGAAAATGGAAAACTAAAAAATAGAAACAAAAAATTGGAGATAGAAAAACTGAAAAATAAAAACAGAGAATTGGAGAACAAAAAACAGAAGTAAAAAACCGGAAAATATCTCTGTTAGTAAACAGGCCCCGAGTATTCTTGTTCGAGCTTTTCAAAATTATTGTCTGGATTTTAGTCGGGATGTTTTTTATTAGACTGAAATTGAACCGAAATTTCCGGGTTTGATCTAGGATGGTCTGGTCTGTTTAAGTCTAATCTGGTTTGAACTGATCTGATATATTCTGATCTATGTGTATTTTATAACTATCAAGTTTGGTCTACATGTATTTTATAACTGTCGAAACCTTGTGTGATGTGATCTATTTAAGTATGGTTGATCTGATCTGGTATGGTCAGGTTTAGGATTGATATCAATCCAAGTAAAAACATCTTCAGTCACCAAATAAACGCTTTAAAATGAGAATTGAGAAGGGAAACAATTAAACACAAATTGTTGAAAATGAAAGTTGTAGAAAAATAACCATTGGTACAACAGTACGAGAGATGCTTTAAACATTTTCCAACATGTTTTTTCTATAGGGTTTATTGCGCTAGTTAAACCTATTTTAATTTACCATGTTTTCACATTAATCACTTGTGCAGTGGGAATCCTTTTTCTTATTCTCCGAGACATGACCAAGGAATTCATCCCTCGAAGGTGTAGAATACGGTTCTCCAAAAACATGTGTCTTAATGTTATAATGTTATATGGAGTACGTAGTATTATTGAACATACAAGTAAATAGGTCAAAATCTCTATTTTATATTAATCATTTTCTTTTATTCAGCAATTAATTTTGTTCTTCACAAGAGAGTCATGTGCACGATTTAATTATAGCACAAAAGAGTTTGACGCATTTTTTAAATCACAGTGAGAGGGGTTGTTGTATTAAACTCTTTTTGGTCTTTTGAGAAGTATGTTACTTTTCACAAAAAAAAAAGACGTATCTTAACAAACATCAACTTTAATTGGGGTTTAATGAATCAAACCCTATCGTGATATACAAAATTTACACATTAACCTCTTGTGATTTAAAAATATGTCAAATTTTGTGTGCTATAATAATCATGTACATAACACTCTGGAACACTAAATTTATCAATTTCGAAATGACCAGTCTTAATGTTGTGATTACACATGCAAGTAAAATTTGACAAAACTTCTAAAGTATAGAATATTAATCATTTTTCTTTTATTTGATGATTAGGTCCTGTTTGTTGGCAAATGATTTTCACATTATTGATGCATCTGAAATACTCAATTCCAATAAACACTACTGGCCAGAAGGAAATATCGAGGATAAAAATGTCTTTTAATCTTTAATTGATTAATGGGATGATAATAGAATTCAACCAATAATGTAAGTGTTGAACTACTTTTTCTTCTTATAATAAAAATCAGCCAAATCACCTCATTTAAGGGGGTATCTTTTTGTACATTCGGACTTAAAAGCCCATTTTTATCCTCCAAAGAGTTTAGCGTATTATGGGGTGTTTGGAACTGATTCTGATTCTGCTTCTTTTTTAAAGTAGAAGCAGAATCAGAATCAGTTTTAAGAAGCAAGTCACCCCAGCTTCTAGAAAACTGATTTTAGGAGTAAATTAGAGCACCAGAATCACTTCTGCACTTTCATCGAAACACTCCAGTTTCTGTTTCTGCTTCCTAAAGGAGCAGAATCAGTTTTAAGAATCAGATCCAAACACCCCCTAAACTCCTTTTTTAACCTATCATAGATAATCAACGAGGTATGGGTCAGATTGGTACTCGAAGTTGCATAAAAAGGGTCAAATAAGTCCTTACTGTCCAGCCGTCGTCATTTGAGGCGGTTTCCGGTGGAATTTTTTGATGAAATTTTTTGAGCATCTTATTCATTAAGTCTAGTTTACTCATACCAAATTTCAGCTAAAACTTCAATCGGTAAGGCATTCAAATGAATTCTTAAAGATAATTGCGCTTTTAACTGCGCAGTTATTTTCAAGAATTCATTTGAATGTCTTCCCGATTGAATTTTTAGTTGAAATTTGGTATGAATAAACTACACTTAATGAATAAGATGCTCTAAAAATTGCGTCAAAAACTTCCACCAGGAAACACCCCAAATGGCGACGACTAGACAGAGCCTCCTATACAAGGACTTATTTGACTCTTTTTATGCAACTTCGAGTACCAATCTGACTCTTACCTCGATAATCAACTACTCCGTAATTTTTTTAGTAACTCATTTGCATAACTAGATTTAGAGAACCAGGGCCAAGGCAACCTCCATTTTGGGACAGCCATGGGTCATGTACTCATGTCTGCACCAACTTAACCACCTTCTCCATTAAATTATGCATCCTAAAGGTAATTGCATTAATTAGTGTGATTTGATCCTTTAACACAATTTCGCGTGCCTTGAGCTAAAAATTACCCCGTCGCAGTAGAGTGAAACTTATGCAACCTTCTCCAATTGATATAGAAAAGGGGGAATTTGACTTTGCACCCCACATTTGGGATGAAATTGGACTTTGCACCCCATTTAAAAAAAACTTTGATTTTGCACCTCATTTCACTTCAAAATTCTTTGACTTTGCACCCCATTTTGAAATTTTCCTTCACAAATTTTAGATGATAGGGTGCAAAGTCAAATGTTTTTAAAAATGGGGTGCAAAGTCCAATATTACACAAAAAGTGGGGTGTAAAGTCAAATTCTCCCTATAGAAAACTCACAAATTTGGAATTAGTTCAACATATTTATTTTTCACTTTTTGTTTATCCTAATTCACACTCAATTTTTATAGAGAGAATTCACTAAATAAAAGTAAAAACGTTTCGAAATTCCAAAATAGGATTATCATGCTTTTATTCCCCTGAATAGGATTAAATATCTGCCAAATTTGGCATTATATTAGTAGGCTTTAAACATGGCAGTTTTCCAACACTTGGCAGAATTACTCTTATTTGGGGAATAAGGATGTTTTTACTTGGACTGTAATTTGCTGGTCTGGTCTGATCTGGTCTGAACTGGTCTGGTTTGGTCTGGTTTTTTTGTATTTTTATAATTACGCAAGTCTGGTCTGGTCTGGTCTGATCTGGTCTGGTATGGGACAAATTACAGTCCATGTAAAAACATCCTAAAAACATGAAAGTCCTATTTTAAAAACGTTTTACTCCTATTTAGGGTAATTTTTATATAAAATATCAATTTGATAATTATTTTACGGAGAATATATAACACCATATATGGAGAGAGATATCTTATAGTAGTATGTAGTATTTAATTCAGAGAATTAAACATGGATATACAAGTTAATCACTTATTATTCCGTATATTATATTTGATTCGTACTAATCCAATTCCCTGATTTGAAAATCTCAATGCATATTTTAATCCTGAACTCAAAAGTAAGTTTATTAGTAAATTCAAATTTTCAATTCGAAAATAAATGGGAAAAGTATATAATTGTTTAACAGTTGTCACTTCGGAGTTTGCTTTTATGCATCAACATTTTCTCACATATTTGTAACAAAAGCTATTATTTTTTATTGAGTATCTTATAAAGAGAATTTATTGTTATATTATTATTCCTAAAGAAATATATAATTCACATGAATTTTTAAATTATATTCACTCTTTTACAAGTCTTTTTAATAACAATAATTGTTTTCATTAAAACCAATTTATGTTCCAGAACAAACAAAAATTGTGCTATGCATTAGAATAAATATGTACAAGCGTAAAATGAAATTATTTATGTCATTTTTAAGAGAATTTACTCATTGAAATTAAATGAATAATATTTAATTTGCGTGTATCAATAGTATTAATCACTACATGGAGTTTGGTAGAGAAGCTTTGAGCTCGTATGCATTGAATTGAAAGTTTATAATAACGTACATCTGATACACAATAGTACAATACACATGTTATATGTAATGCTGAAGTTTTGTTTTATAAATGTGACGATTTTGTACACAAAGTACATATCATAGAATTATATTCTTATTGCGGTTTTGTCGATCCTCCAGTTAAGCTCATTGTTCTATTGCTTTTCCCATGATTATGATTAGTGGTTTTAAATACGTACTTACGTAGTATATACTCATCAATTTTTTAGGCTTATATTAGTCTACAAATACAAAATAAAAATACATTAATTGAATTCGAACTCAAATGTTATCTCCCCCACATTTTCTTTTCTTTACATGTTTTTGTTACATTTTCTTTCTAACTTACAAACTCACAAGCATAGAGATAAAGTGCATGGAATAAAGATTGTGTAAGTGAATGTAGAACCCACACGGGTTGAGGTCTCATGTTCAAATGTTCAATCCCGACAACGGCAATATGGAAGTTTTATCTAATAATTATGGCTCCTTATGTGCACCTGGCACTACACCACCTCACTTCGAAATTCTCTGAAATGATACAATAATTTACTCATCCACCATTTTGTCGGGGTATAACAGCACCTAGTGACAAGTACAGTAATAGGAGGGACTAGAGAGTGCCATGAAATTAATAATAAATAAATGAAATGCTTCACCATCACACTTTTAGATGTTAAATAACTCCTACTTAATCATACCCAGTCCTACATTCTCAAAATAGCCCTACTCCAACATTAGACAGACTTTTCCACTCTCATTCTCCGGCCTCACCGTGCATGCAGGTGGCTGGTGGCTGGCACAATGAATAGACGGCAGTCACCACCAACAGTTGGTGGCGGCAATGGCGGAGATGAGAACACAGGCGTTGTGAAGAAGGGGCCTTGGACTCCAGAAGAAGATAAGAGGCTGGTGACTTACATCCAAAAGCATGGGCATGGGAGCTGGAAAGTTGTGGCTAAGCTGGCGGGGCTTAACCGCTGCGGAAAAAGCTGTCGCCTCAGGTGGACCAACTATCTCCGGCCTGACCTCAAGAGAGGCAAGTTCACTGCGGAGGAGGAACAACTTATCATCAAGCTCCATTCAGTCATTGGAAACAAGTAAATGAATTATATATTACTCCTTTTATAGTCTATGTTTAAGAATCCCCTCTCCTAGTCCACTGGATCTCTAGATGGTTGACTGGGACTTAGCCTAGGCTTAGACAGGTTAGGCCATTACTGCATTAGTGCATTAGGCTCTTTTGATTCGTTGACCGCTTTGACTTTTTCTCAAATGAACTCTCATAATAATGGCTAGTGCCTAAGTGCTAGGCCACAACTATTAAGACAGTCCTACATTCCTGGTTTCCATTATATTTTGGAATTGTTGCCATTTTATCGTTTATCCCATGAGATAAGTGACTAGAAAGGACCAACCGATGGAAAAAAGTCCATATTTGTGCATAGGAAATGGAGAAGATCATGAGACAGAGGAACCTAACAACCAGGGAAACAGAAGTAATAAAAAACCCAATCAATCCGTAAAAGCAACAAGGACCTGTTCATTTGGTCTAAAAAAGGGTCTGTTCTGATTTATGTATGTGTATTAATGTAATTTATTGTTAGTTTGTCCCAGTCTGGATTGGTCTTATCTTATTATACTAGTGGTCTAAATATTAACAAAACCACCTTTGACATAGCAGGTGGTCAGCCATTGCAACACGGCTTCCGGGGAGAACAGATAATGAGATCAAGAATCACTGGAACACTCACCTTCGAAAAAGATTGCTGCAAATGGGTATTGACCCTACAACACACAGGCCAGTAACAGATTTCAACCTCATCAATGTCCTTGCAAATCTAACCCAGCTCCTTGCTGTTGTTACCAACTCTGGAAATAACAGCAACTTAACAACCAATCCTGATTGGGACAGTATCAATGCTCTCAGACTGTGTTCAGATGCTGCCCAAATAGTAAACCAACATAACCTCATGACACCTCTTCAATTGCAACTGCAGAGTAACACCATTAACAGTACTGCAGCAAATGAAGCTCAAAACCAAATGGTTGGACCCGCAGCTCAAATTGGCGGTATAAATCAGATTCTAGACCATCTTGTGTTACTCTACCCATCCATGCCAGAGGTCCAAATCCCACGTCTTAGTTTCATCGCAAATGAGACTAATCAAGGGAAAAGCGTAATGGACGTGTCTTCTTCTGCTTCATCTTCTGTAAAAATTCCAAGTGGTTTGGATATTCCTAATAATCCAATACTTCCCACATTAAATTATGCATCAACTTTGCCTGAGCGTACAAGCAGTAGCATTGATTGGCCAACTGACAAAGAAAGGTGTTCTATTCCGGGTTTCCCCAACCATGTGACTGCAACAACTTTTGAAGCTTGGGGAGACATTAAAATGGCTGATGATGACGCGGTTGGCTCATACTGGCAAGACATTTTGTAGTATGTGTAAACTATGAATACTTTCAATAACTATAACAATTATTTGTCTCATTTTCTGTAAAGTACTAGAAAAAGCAAAAAAAAATAGGCAGGGTATTTTGAAGGAATGATTGGAAAGAAGCAAAAAAAAAGTTTAAACTCAATAAGTCAATTTTAGATACTCGGACAGGGTAATATTATGTATATATTCCCATTACATAAAGATCATGAAATATAAAATATGCAAACTTTAATTCTAGTCAAATTAGACTTTCATTCATGTTTGGAAAAACCATACATTAAAAAGAAACTATTTTCCTTCGCATTCTTATTTTTTTTCACTAACACTTTCCATATACGCACTGTATGTCAAATTTAATACTTATCTTCTCTTACTTTTGCAGCCCAGCCATGTCTCCATAACCCAGTCCATACCAGTGTTTTTTCTTGCTTGAGATAAAGACTGGAATTTCTGACTAAGAGCCTCACCAGTGTCCAGTCTGTTGTGTTTTTCTTTAATCAACTTATTGTAAATAATAAGTCTAGAATCATAAATGGCTTGTTTAGCTGGGGAAAAAAGAATATACTCAATATTGTTTTCCTTTTCCATTACCAATTATAGAATAAATAAATAGATGTTGAGACTCGAGTGCTTTCATCAACCAGCTACATTCTTATTGGTGTGTTACAGAAGCTAAACAAGCAGCAGCAGCAGCACCAATTCACCAACTATATCCAGTATTCCAGTTAACTAATCTTGTAAAGTTTCTGTTTCATCAGTATGCAGCCAATTGTATCAACATGGCCTTTTTGTGTGTGATCAGAATATGACCTATAAGTTCCATTAACTGTATATAGAGCAATGTTATTTTTTAAATTCCGATGAAGAAAGCATTGAAAGACCACATGAATCATATAAAAATTGCAATACATGGAAGGAGATTGAGAGAAAAAAAATCCGTTTATCCAGACTTTTTAGTCTAATATGCAATGAAAAAAAGGAGTTTCAACTTTTAACCAAAACTCTATAGTTTCTGAACATGATAACCAGAGAAAAAGAAAATGCTGCAAATTGGAGTAAAGTGCGAGAATAGTAGTCTTCTTGTTGTATCAGGAAGACAGGAATTAGCACTCATTTAATCCTAAAGAAAGAATAAAATCAGATAAATCTTCTTACTTCAAGTGTCAACAAGCCCTGTTTTGAGCAAAAAAAATGTAGTTTTATTAGTTCTAGACTTCTAGTCCTATTTACAGAACTTTCTCAGAGGACAACGCTAAATTACATGAGGTTTTTCCTTAAAATAGTATTGAAATCAACCATGTGGATGAAAATATGACTAAAGTGACTATGAGTATACCATCATTATCACTATAATGTAAAATTGAACATAATCATGGTCAGTTATTCACTAAAGTATAAAAAGTCAAATATTGTTAACCATTACCTTCCTTTTAGTCATATATAGATTCGTCATTATTTCATACTCCCTCCGTCCCATGGGAGATTGTCATTTGTCTGCTTTGATTTATGTGTGAAATAAGAAAAGTAAAAAATTGTATGGTTCAGATTTGTGCAGGGGAGAGAGAAGTATGGAGAATCACAAATTTATTACTTCAAAAGGAAAGTGACAGTTTTTTGGACAAACAAAAAAGGAAAGTTGGCAAAGTCCAATGGAACGGAGGGAGTATTACATTCTCTAGAGTTCAGATTTAGGTTTGATACTTTAAAATAGAAAAAGTCATGAAAGTTACTAACACAGTAAAAAATCCTCGAGAGTTCAGACCATGAATCATGTTCATCTCCAATTTGATGGAGTTATTTGTTAGTTTTATGCAATAGGTGATGCTTCTATCTTTTTACATTTACATCTTGCTTAAACTATGAGCATCAAGTCGTCATCAACATGTTAAAGCATAACTACTTTTCTACGATGGGAAAGTTAAAGATAACTACGTTTTGTGTTAAGTCAATATAAGTCGCAACAATTACATCAGGGAGGTGCAACTCAATGTATCACAAATAATAAAATTATGAAATTTTTTATTATATGTTCAACTCTTGTGAGTTTAATATTCGTATGATATGACTTTATGTTGTTTAGTGGTTCATATGGCATTGTTTTACAGTGCCCTTTTGCTAAAATAAAGTATGGGCCTGCGGAGTAGCTTCCATTGCACACTTCAAGAACACCTAAACATCTTTCCTGATAGTAGGTGCAAGTGTTGGCCACATAAAGCTAATTCTCAACTAACCTGTTTCCTCATTTGACTTCATGGCACAACTGCAGAAAAATTAAATACATATGATATACAGATACCTGTCCAGCCATGCAGGAATGATGAAACTGTAAACACTAACCTGAAAACCTCAATGGCATATGTTGACATAAAAAGTATAGGCAAAGAGTCTTTTTCCTTCTTCATGATATTATTTTTTGAGCTGCGAAATCAACATCTTAAATGATTGTAGTAGTGTCAGCTCTCAATACTGAAACAGGGTTTAAAAGGTAGCATCTTAATCACAAAGGAGAAGAAGCCTGATTTTTGTGTATTAAAGGTTCTAATCACAACATTATATATTAGGTCCACAGTAAGATGCCTATTCTTCTTTCCACACCCGTTGATGGAGAACAATTTCAACAGCCATTAATAAAAACATTGAATTAAGAAGCTTTTTGCTTTCACAATACTTAGTCGACAGATTTAAAGGTCAGAAGAAGAATTCAAGTAGAAAAAAAACACGACTTCATGTTGCATCATTTTCTTCCTGTTAATTTGTTATCGTTAATGCTTACTAATAAACTTAAGGTCTTGTGAAGGGATTGGGGATATAAACAATTGGCTGCCTTATATACAAACAGTTAAAACTTAAAAGTAATTCACTTTAACAAATAGCAATCGAACCATAAATCATTCAATCTAAATAAAAAGGACAGTAAGTACGTTGATGACAATTGTCGAACCAGGCAATACATTAACTAGTTAAACCATAGATGAAACAGATGGAAACATAGATTCAAGATCAAATGTTATATCCATCACTCCTTGTGAGGTACTTAAGATACATTGACATCCAGTTATCCTGAGTCCCTGACCTAAAGTAAATAAAATATAGGAAATATACATTATCCCTTGCCTATCTGTTGGTGAGCAATGTCAAGGAAAAAGTCTGTCAAAATAGTCTCATATGAAGGTACTTTGGCAAAACCAGGGAGGTAATTGATATCAATAACCAGATAGAGATTTCCAACTCGAGTGTCCCTTATCATATCAAAGTTAAAGAGATGCAATTTGAGAGCATTCCTCAACTCATTAGCTACTTCAGTAACGAAACTCAATGGAGGCATCTCTATCTCATCATCAAACGACCTGGAAAAACTGGCATCGTTTTTATCTTGAGCAGTCAAATTTGATATCTGAGAAAACGGGAACAAATTCTCCGTTGTAGGATAGTTATCACCGGAGATATCAGGCAAAGATGACCGTTTCAAGCATTGCACATACTTGCCGGCAACGTATACCTTGAAAAGTACACCTCCATGGTTGACGAATTCCTGCAACACAACCGGGGGTTTAAGACCCTTCAGTCCCTCTTCGTTGAACACAAAAAACATCTGGTGAGAATCAGCACTCCCATTTGCGAGTAACGGCTTGGCGATCACCGGGAACCTCAACCCCATGCGATTAAAAGCGCTGGACAACGATTCCGAATCGTCAGGGACGCAGACTTGCTTCGGGATTCCGAGGACCTCGGTCTGGCTCGAGACCTTCAAGCCGTTGAAGACTTCAAGCATGGACAGCCGATTACGCAGCCGCTCGATGGCGTCTGGAGAGTCGATTATTGAGGTGCTAGGGTTTTGAAATGAGAACTCGGCAAGCTGTTTCTTCCAATCTTCTCCATACAACTTGTGAATGACGCAATCGAAGGGCCCTTGTTCAACTAGCGGCTTTGCGAGATCGATAGACACAAGATCGATCCCTCTTTGGCGAGCATGATCAACGAGAGAACGTTTAATAAAGCTCTGGACTTTGTTCGGCGCCAGTGCATATCCTACACGAAACCTCTGCCCGACGAGGGGTTCCGGCCTCTCTCCGGCAACAATCTCGTCGCACATTGTTGCTGACAACGTCGGATGCACCAAAACGAGCTGAGATTTATACGGAAAGCGAAAGAGGAGGAAGCAATGGAATATGTTCTTCTACAAATGGCCAACTGGTAGGCGGTAGCGTTAGTTTACGTGGCAGTCGCACCTGATGCGGCGGAGAGATTCCGGCATACAAACGTCAACGGTCATAACGCATATAATTTCTGACTGCACGAAATATGTGCTCCCCGAGCGGATGTAGACGTATCTTCCGGAGTATGTTTTACGGCCCACTTGAGCATCTTGACATTCGTTGGCTTAATTGTTGGGCTATACATTCAGCCCATAAAGTATTATTATTCCAATGAAATTCAATGTGAACTCCATCTGTTTCACTTGCCCTCTTTTGTGTTCCAATTTGATTCGAATCAATGAAAGTGACTAATTATTCATTACAAATTAATCTTGCAAAAACAAATATGAAAATTTATCATGCAGAGTTTCAAAACTGATCTAAAAAGAGTCATTCTTGATGTAGCCACATATGTACACACTTTTGTACAGTGTACACAGACATTTGGGGTGTTGTCTTCTTCTTAACGAACTGCTTGTGTGCACAGGCAAAATAGGGGGTGGGTACAAAAGTGAGTACAAAGAGAATTTTTTATCTAAAAAGGTGTAAATCAAGTTTTGAACATATTTCTGATGAAAAGAGAGTATGTTTCATCTTTCATCCCAAGTCATTGTTTGGAATTGAATCTGAGACATTTCCCTTGTATCATTGTCTTCCTATCAAGTGAGCTACGCTCCCAGTACAAATTAATCCTGCATTTTTCGTAGCTTGTGTTGCTTGTGATCAATCATGATATGAGTTTTTTCCACTTTTAGTCCTCCGACTATTATGTCATTGACATTTTTGGTACTCGACTTTGATTTTTTCCACTTTTAGTCCTTGACTATTGCGCTAGAGACACTTCTGGTACCCGTCTTTGAAAATTTCCATATTTAGTCCTTCAACTTTCATAAAAGTGACACATTTGGTCCTTCAACTATTATAATAGTTACCTTTTTAGTCCTTCACTTATTGTGTCAAATTTATAATGGAAGGACTAAAAGTGTCAATTTGACAATACTCAAGGACTAAATGTGGGAAACCTTGAAGTCAGGGACTGAAAGTGTCTCTAGCACAATAGTCAAGGACTAAAAATGGAACAATTAGAAGTCGAGTACCAAAAGTGTCATTGACATAATAGTCAAGGGACCAAAAATGGCAAAAACTCATCATGATATTCACAAGAAGTAGTAGCAACATTCATAATTGTACTTTTTCAAAGAATTTATGAATACTAACAACTTCAGTGGCCGCT